CATATGAAACATTTTCAGACAAAACAAAAAGTTTTTGAAGATATGAAGACCAAGCTGTTGTGGCGTCTGGTATGGTCGCAGTCTCCTATAAATTTGTTAAAGTGGATTGACCTCGTCGTCGCAACTTGGTCTTGTTGTCATGGCGACTTGGTAGAAGGTACATTTGAGAATGTACCAAGTCGACAGTGTGATGCCGGACATGATGACAATTAAGATGGCAGACGACTTCGGACTGGGCGCCCTGACGACCAGACCAAGTTGCGACACACTTTTAAAAATAAAATTTGTTTTACCCCTTTGGCGGACGTCTTCCTGTTGCCGACGGTCACAAGTTCCATTCAACATGCTCCCAATTGGGAGGACATTTGATGTATCCCTTCCACTCGAGACGACACGCATCGGCCTCGTGTCTCCCAGTCGGGCCTGACAGACAATTTGGGTCGCCAGTTGGTGCTGTTGTCGACGAAGGTTGTTCAGATTGTGCAAGCTGGCGGCGAGATGATTGCGCGAAACGAGAGGCTGACTGCAGCTGGGGCGGCTGGTCGAGGCTGGAAGGCAATAAAAAGACATCAAAACTCAGATCTACCGCCGGCTTTCAAGGATCATCTCAAAACAACACTGTCCTGCACACTTTCATTTCGTGTGAAAGTGACGTGAAGAAAAGATCGGTCGCTTGACGACGGCTGAGTCGACGTTCATGTCGACGCAGTCCATGAGACATCCTCTCTCCTCAATCAAATGGCCGACATCATCGGAGCTGGGATTCATTTTTACAACAATGCTTAATCCCACATGAAACCGAAAAAATATAAAATCTATAATTAAATAAATATAAAAGATAGTTTTTATTATAATATTACATATATAAATTGGGAATAAACTGAATGCAAGGAACGATAGTTAGAGGTTGAGTAAGAACTAATTATGCTTGATTGATAGATTGATGGAAAGAGAAACTTTTGAGCCGCCATCCAAAGGTTCAGTACATGTTAGCTCTCATCAACCACACACACACACACACACACAAATATTCAAGTATGTTACCATGACTTTTGCAAAAATGAGTTCCAGTTCTGATGATTTCCGTTATTTGATAAACGAAACGAGGAAGAGTGTCCCTTGGACTGCAGAACAACGCGAATCGATCAATCAACAAGTCTATCCATCATGCGATTTCATAAAAAGTGGATTTCTTTACAACACTACTTGAATTGGTTTAAGTAGTATTGCCGGAGGGGTGAAAAATTAGCCATTTTTTCAGTGTCCATTTCTCATCAGGTCAGCTGTTCAGGATATTTCGACAAGGTTGACTTGTCTGTCGAGCTAAGCGTGATCGTTTGTCTGTGTGTGTGTGGCCTCATTTGCATGCAGGTTGCTAAGCACATCTTCGCACCATATCGATTTCCAGCAATCTGTAGGCCATATTTCTGGCTGCAATGACAACAGTGTCCAGATACGAAATGAGAATGGGTCCATGCAACGGTCATGTGTGTTAACGACTCATGAGATATCGTCACTAGGGCTTTTTGTCGGTCTGGTAAAACAACGTGATGACGAAAATGCTCTCATTTCCAACCAAATCAGCCTCGCTGTACCACTCGGTGCTGAATTGGTGCAGAAATTGAATAGGTGAGGCCAACCAAATGACGATTTGGTTCGTGGTTTTTGGAGGAATTGTGAATAGAGGCCACATATGCATTCGATTAATGAATGCTGTTGATGCTCAAAACGTAAAGATGACGGAGATTGAAGCTTCTGGAGACGGTGATGGAAAGCAGAAGAGCGAGGGCATGAACAAAATGTGTAGGCAAGGCATGGTTGGAACTCGTATTTGTTTTCTGTTGACTTGAGAAATGAAAACATCCAGACGGTAAACATTTTGTTTATTAGAAATAATTGAATTCTTAATTGCATAATTAATTAAATAGTTGAGTCAATCAGGCTGGTACCATGAGAGACTAACAAGCAAACTTGTTGAGATTAATTCCATTTCGAGTGGAAGTGTTTGGTGAAAAGATTCGAAGGTTGATTCCGCCAGAAGATGATGTCGGATTCCTCTTGACCAGCTGTCGATTGGCTTTACTGGAACATTCCTGTTGGCGCTGTTTTCGAGCTAATCTCATTCGATGGAAGTAAGCTCAACAATTACGAAACCAGAGATTCCTCGAAACCCAACTTTTCATGCGAAATTAAAGTTCCCATCACATGCGACTTGATGACGGTTGGGCAGTTTATAGAGTTAGGCTCATTTATCTAACAAATTTGAGTGATTTGAGAGAGTTTTTCGTATATAAGTAGGGTTTCGAGATTACGAGTAAATCAGTAGTATGACATGTATTTACCATATTTCGTTTATGCTGATGAAGGAGTGGTAGTAGCATTTTCCCACAATCCTATGAGTAGAGCTGACGTTTCTAGTTAATTTCACAAAAATCTGCTTCCATCCAGGCCGAATCGAACTGCCGTTTCTACCTCGTATGGGTATTAGCAACATCCCCAGCGGGAGTCGAACCGTGCCCTTCGGTCACAGAGTAGATGTGAATTTCAAGGATGGCCATGTATTTTTAAATATCACATTCTTTGCTGGGATTGTCGATGAAGCAAACGTATATTTGCTACACACAATCAATTACACTACTTATATTTCGTATATAAGTAGGGCTTCGAGACTACCAGTAGTAAATCAGTAGTATGAGATGTATTTAGCCTTTTTTTAAGGGGATGGTAGTAGAATTTTCCTAAAATTATGTGAGTAGATCTGAGGTTTTTATTCAATTTCACAAAAATGTGTTCCCATCCAGGCCGAATTAAACTGCAGTTTTGACCTCGTATCGATATTAGCAACATCCCCAGCGGGAGTCGAACCATGCCCTTCGGTCACAGGACAGATGTGAATTTCAAAGAAGGCCAATCCTTTTCACATATCACATTCTTTGCTGGGATTGTCGATGAAGCAAACGTATATTTGCTAAACACAATCAATTACACTACTTATATTTCGTATATAAGTAGGGCTTCGAGACTACCAGTAGTAAATCAGTAGTATGAGATGTATTTAGCCTTTTTTTAAGCGGATGGTAGTAGAATCTTTGTTAAAATTATGTGAGTAGAGCTTATATTTCCATTGCATTTCACATAGCCTTACTTGTTCTTCCTATCCATGCAAAATTGAACTGCAATTTCGACCTTGCCTCGGTCTTATCAACACGTTTGACACGTTTCACACTCAGCCAGATTGCAGATGTGAACGTCACCTCTACTCATATGATTGTAGGATAATTATACTACCAGTCCTTCATAACCTTAAACGAAATAGGGTGAAAACATATCATATATCTTTCGTATTGTGTGTCTACTTATATACTCAATACCGGTGCTAAATCAGAGATTAGAAAAAGCGAATGTCAAGAAAAAGAAGGAGCTCTAACCGAGATTGCGTAAGTCCATGAGCAACTATGGAGATGTACGCTTGTAAGTGTGTAGGTCAGGTTACGAAACCGTCAGTCCTAACTTCCTTATTTTGGGTAATTAGGGTTTAACCAGCAAAGGAAAGTGATAACTGGGGCTGCGTAATCTGGTACGTCTGGATTGGTTGATGAGGTCCAATCTAATATGTTGGACGAGTGTGAATGAAGCTGAAACGATCCGCAAACAGACAAGTTGAGTGTTCTTCTTTTGGATGGCGGGCTTCGAAGAATCTGCCGAAAAAAGAGAGATGTTGAGACTTTACTTTCGTGTGAAAGTATATGATGAAGAGACTGGTAGGTCAATCCCACTAGAAAAGGTCGGTTGATTCGCGTTGTACTGCGGCCGTTTGACATTACTTTGACGTTCAGATTCATGCCGTCCACGAGACATCCTCCCATCCGAAATGTCTTTTCATCATGTGCTTCCAAATGAAATGAAAATCTTTACATCTCTCTCTCTCTTATTCTATCAATAAAGCAGAAATAGTTCTTAATCAATTTCAACATCATCTACCAATTTCATAGCCTCTCTTAGCTCCTTATTTTAACAGAAGACGTACCATAATCAGTTGTAAGAACATTCTATTTCATGTCCAGGCTCTGGCTTGCGTATTTGACAACTTCTGACCGTTGAACCCAGCTTCCATTCGAAGCATTTTTGTGCTTTCCCAATCTTTGTCTCATCAACACAACATCGACCACATGAGCAAGCAATCTTGTAGCATTCAGATCTCGAGAATAGGTCATATTTCACTCTAAACGATGACAGAATGCTTTGCTTTGAATACTGTTTTTATCACACAATTTTTTACTAATTTGCCAATCTTTATTTGAAAGAGGACATAAAGGTAAAATTAGGACTTGGAACAGTGTCTTCTCTTGTCCTTTCTCTTGTCCTTTCTCTTGTCTGAAAATATACTCATCGGTAGAGAGCTATTATTCTCAATAGGCCACAAAGGATAATTATTTTTCAGGAATAAATTTGTCTTCCATTCCAACTTTTTAGTCAACTCTAAATAAGCATTGACTTCAAAGTTCCAACCTCAGTTTAGTAACTATGGCTGGACATAAAATCCAGTGATGAACCAACATCTATTGGCATATTTTTTTCTCTATTTCGTAAAGTATGGAATCTTGCTCTGATGATGTCTGTATCTGTGGTATCGACGAATGTGTTGCGCAGGTTCATCGGGGTGACAGGACGGTGAGCTTACATCTCGTTATCTCAACTGTTTTTGCTTACAGACTTACGAAAGTTAATTAGCCAAACGACCCTATATCTATCTCTGCTTTTTAATTTTCTTTTGCTTAAATTATTATATATACAACGTGAGATAGAGCTGGATAGTCGTCTTGACTTAGTATTTGTTAACATGATTCTTTTACAGAAATGAGACCAAGCTCTGACGCTGCCCATTTTCACTTGAAACGAGGAAGGATGTATCGTGGACTGCATCAACCTGAGCGTCGTATTAAAGCCAAACAGCTGCAGTACAACGCGAATCGACCATCAAATCTCTTCTTCATGCATCTTTGTGCAAAATGAAAGTCGCTCCAACAATGTTACCTCAGGAGATTGATCTAAACCCAGTCACTCTTCTTCTCCATTCTACTACTCTAATATATTAAAGGATAATATTATCCTATGGCTTGGAATTTATTGTATTAGGCAAACTCTCTATTTACAAGACATAATGATAATCAAAATTTATCTATATGATTACAAAAAGAGATATTTCATAATAGCTATAAACGAAGCTTGCCTAGGCCTTGTGGGTTTCCACCTTGGGCGCATGCTGTGGAATTAGTGCATTTTAAGGTATCTATGCAGTGACGATAAACAGTTGTCGCCAAAGTAGGCGCTTCCTCTGCAAGTACACACTGCCAAGGTGCATATTGATCACTTAAACGACGTGGTAAACCAAATCCAGGCGGTGAGAAGGTAAGGCATGGATTTGAGACGGATAGTTCACCAGCAACTTTGGACAAATCGGCTCGGAGCTGAAACCAAGTTGCGTTTTATAATATAAAAATAGTTGATATGAAATCTGGTGGAGTGAAAGTATATTTGGTGGGTTACATTTCTTCTTGAAAGATAGAAAATTAATAAATATAATATTTTCTTTATTTTAGAAGAACAAGTGCAGGGCTAATATAAAGGAGCATATTAAATATAATCTTGGCTAAACTTGTGGAAACGTACATAAAAGTATACCTTTTATAATTTAACTTTGAGCATAGGAGTTTACAAGAATTCGTCAATGGAAGACATGTATAGGTGAGATATATAAAAACTTTCTAATGACACTTAATACAGTAACCAGATGTTGTACAAATGGCATAACGCAAATATACCGTAGCCTATTTCTTAGCTTCAGTGTATCCCGACTGTTTTAATGCGTAGGACGATGCAATGTGCCACAGAGAA